AGTGTAGAAAAACAAAAATTATGGGAGTAAAGAAAGGCTGTCTATGTGGCTGTATCATATCTCATCTGTCACAGGATGTATGTGCATGAGTAATAGTTGAAATTAGTGACAGTGGCATGAAATTTTAGTGAGAGAGCTGTCTTCCAATAAACCCAGAAGTTTTTAAGTATCATGTTTCTGCAGTTCAATGCCATTACAGGTTTCTGGGTGAGCTTTATGCCATCCTTAATTTCCCATTTATGAGAAATGGCACAGAACCTGGGAATATCTGGTAACTTCTAAAGATGAGAAGCACATTGTTTAAGAGAGCCTGAAGTCTCTTTTCTTACTGATTTACCAGGAAAACTGGAAGCAATTAAATATTCCTGATTCTTTTTGTGACTTTACCTTGGCATTGAAAACACATGAGCTTCAAGAGGCAAACAATATAGAGCATGTAATCCACGCCTTCTTTATAAATTGGTAGTAGCCAGAAGCTGCAAAGAAATACACTTGTGATCAAAAGACAGAAATTCCCTGATGTACCATTTCTATTTGAATGTATTATTTTGTGTAAATACACTGCCCCCACCTTGAAGTTGGTCTTAAAATACTGATTATGTAGGTGAAGTGGAAAAGCAGGTTAGATTTAAGTACATTGCTTCTCAAATAGACCATGGATCCGGAGACTTTTAGTTAGGCCAAGGAGAGCAAGATAAATAGTCATCGAGCAATTTTATTAGGCATTTGTCTTTGCTTTAGGTTTAATTCAGCACCCACTTTGATTGTCTGAACTTCACTAAAACCCTGCTTCTTTATGCCTCTTCATATTTATTTGTTCTTTGATGATTACATCTATGGAAGATTGGCTTGGGAGGAGTTTTAGTGACGTGGTTTGATGGGGACAACCATCAAGTAATTGAATGTCGTGACAAAAAAAAAAAAGGAAGGAGAAACACTTGTCTGAATTTGAGGGAATTTTTTTTCTAGCCTAAAATGAAAGAACTAATGATTTTGTGAAGCCTTTGATGGAAACATCATATGTACTTGGCTCCACTGAAGTAACTTTATTGATTTGTGCAGTTAAATCGCCCTTGCAGAACAAGATCTAAGTGATGAGGTTTAAGATTTATAGTAACTCGGTCAGCCAACTTGGAAGGCTGAAACTACAGCCAAACCCCCACTCTTTATGTTAATATTCTTTAGACAAAGGGTCAAAACAAGCCATTCCAAGCTTGCAGTGAATTTAGAGCATCCAAAGCCAACCGAAACACGGCAGATATTCTGCTGTAGTAACTCCTGTCCTGCCTGTGTGGCTCATGGAAAGCTACGTGCGCTCAAACTCCTGTGTGAATCGCCAGACTCGGTGCTTATTTTTCTGTGTAAAAGTGTATTTCCTAAGAAATATGCTTCCTATTCAAAGGGCATATTTTTTTCACTTCCTTCCCATAGAATAGTATTTCTGTGTGGTCTGGTATTTCAGGAAAAAAAGGATGGTGAGTGCTAAGACTCGACTGTTCCATCTCCTAGGCCAGTCCAGCCATTGGTCAGACACAGCAGGGAAGATACTGAACACTTTCCACTTAATATGGAATGAATCACCATCGTATCATGTACACTCGATTACGCAGTCACTTTCAGGCTGCATGATCCTTCTGAGGAATTTCTTTAAAGTTCTCATTTTTAAACTTGTTCAAATTTGAGGAAAATCAACATCAAGAACATTTTCACATAAATGTGTCAGTTTTCTTAACATGTACTTTTAATTTTGCTTCCTTGATAGAAGCACCTATGCAATTGAGAGGAAAGCTTGCTTTTAAACTAATGTCGGTGAAGCCCTTTTTTGAAACTGAAAGATAATACACTTAGTAACAGGGGGTTTATTTCCAAAGGCTTGTACCATAATCAACAACTCAGTTGTGTGATTGCTTAGTAAACACCTGCACTATCCTGGCATAGAAAAGAAAGGGGCAGTTCTGCTACATAAAAGCACTGTAGCATATACTATGCTTAAAAAAAAAAAAAAGAAAAAATCTCTTTGGAGTGTAGGAGGATGGAGTTTTTGATACTAACTTTGACCTTCATGTTCGCCTCGGGGGAGCAAGGTGTTCACGGAGCTTCATGTGAACACTTGGTGCTGACTGGGAACTGAAGTATATCCTGCCTTTCTTGCTGACCACAAAACACATCTTAAGGTAGTGAAAGAAAGCTTCCTCAGATTTTTAAAATACAAATGGAGTTGTCTGTGTACAGGTTGCAAATCAGGATGAAGAGTAACCCCTCCCCTCAGTTCACATCCGCTGGAGTGCAGCAGGGAGGGGAGAAGAGTGGGGCTCTGTCCCTGGCTCCTTAGCAAGTTTGGTATGGTTTAGGGTTTTTCTGAATGTATCTATTTACTTTTTGTAATGTAAGGTGATCTGGGGCAATAATCGAAACAGTAAGAAACAACAAATAACCCTTGGGGCATGTAGCACCACTGCTTGCTTTGGTGGAAAAGTTTGGTGTGTGCTTGTGCAATACTTTATTACCCACTTCACATGGTCATGCAGAGCTGAAATTTGCACTAACTTGTACTGGCTCAGTTTTTGTTACATTACAAGATAAATGACACTTCATATAGGCGGATATTATATTAAAGTCTACTTAATGCTTTAAGATGTTAGGTGACAACTAAAAAATTGTTCAATTCCTACAGAGCAGCACTGAGCCCACTGAGGAGCATGATGAGCAACTTACTTTTTTTTTTCAGTATAAACTTACTACTTTGATTTACAATGCTAATTCGTGCAGCTTTTGACAAGCACCAAGTATTACTCTATTCCTATGAATATTGCTTATATTACTTCAATTGAATTTTTGAAAGCAGGTTGTTTTAAGATTTCAAAAGTTGGGTTTTTTTTCCATATAAATGTTCTATTAAAAACATTTGCGGTTTAAGATTTAAATAACGTGTTTCTTGTCTTTTAATAGGTGAATGTCTATGTGCTGGGAAAAACTTTCCTTCTGTTGGCCAGAGAACTCTGCATAAATGCTCCAGCCATAGGTATATATATATATTTTTTTTTAAATGAGCTGACTTTTGCGTATTTGGGTGTATTTTCTGCATGGTAACTTCACAAGGATATATATATATAAAAATGTATATTTGCACATAGTATTGTGTGGTAAATACCAAATTAGTAGCTTAAAGATGAAACTGGAATCAATCCAGGCAGAAGAGTGCTGCTGACTATGAGCCTGTTTTCCTTTATGTAAAAGTTTGTTGGGAGCTAGATGCTATTTTCCTTCAAAAATTATTTTGTTGCTTTTTCCAAGAGTAGCTTAGGCTGCACTAAGACAGTGGGCTGGATAACAAATTTGTCTGCGTCTACAAGCTTGCTCAGGCCTGTCACACTTCAATTCCACAGAGATGCAATGTTTGAGATTTGCCAAATTTACTATCTGTCCATCACCTGTAGCCAAGATGTTCAGTGCCTGAAATACAAGTGGCTTGATGATGGAAAATGAGGAGCAACTTTTTCCAAGCATGCAAATAACTTTTTAATTAGTAAGTAATCACTGAAATTGTAACACAGTGATAGGAAGATGGGTTTTAACCTGTCAAAACAGTAAAAAGGCTATTGTCTAGGCTGTAGCTTTTAAGCCAAGGGAATTCATGCCAATTCCAGTTAAAAGAGTGAGTTTAGAGAGAGGTCTTGTGACTTGCCCACCTCTGTGCAGGAATTTTCTTCCTTTATCTTTACCCACTCTCACTCCCACTCTCCCTTAATCTGTACTGAGACAATCAGATGCCTTTGTGTTCAAGAACAACACACACGAACACCCCTTCAGATGTTCCTAGCCGGGCACATAACTGCCTTCCTTTGCAGCAGGAGAACCAGTAGCTCACGTATTGAGTGTTGTCATAATGGCATCCAGACAGCTGTGCACTGCCACATGCACCAGCCATCGTGGTGTGCTGGCTTCGTTAGCAATGCTTGATGCCTGGTCAAAAGTTCTTTTTTCTTTCCCCAGTAATTCAGATGCCTACTTATTCTTCTTTTTTTTTTTTTTTGAGAGAGAGAGAGAATAGGCAGAATTTGTATGGCAGCTTAGTTTCAAGGTGAAAAATCAATGCAGTTTAGAAAAAGGCAAACAGAATACCCTTCTAAATTAAATGTAGAGCTACTTGTTACATATGGCAAAAAATACTGATTTAGACTACTTTTTGAGTATTCTTTCCAAGGTCATTATGAGAAGATCTATAAACCCCAGTATTTGTAATTGGCTCATCTGTAATGATTGTCAGACACTTGAGGATAAACACCTACTTTTACTGCTCTTTAAGGGAAGTTAAGGGTACTAGCTGTAAAATGACTGCTGGTAGGGGGTAGAACTGTTTTTAGAAAAAAAACAGGAGGAAAGATCCAGCAGCTTCTGTTTAAGGTGTTTTCTAATTAGTAATTTTGAGTAAACCTAAAGGCCATATTGCAACTATTTCTCCAATGACTGCTCCTAAATGTGAGGATGGGATGTATATTTAGATAGTGGCTGCCAGTATTGCAGCTCTGGGCTAAATCTGTGATAAAGCCTGTCACTGCATTAAGCTTCGTCTGTGTGCCCTGACTCCAGCCATTGGAGTGGGGGAGCAGTTTGACAGGTGCAAGTGTCAGTGTTGCTGTTTGCTGAGCAGGCTGGAGGTTAATGCAGATGGTGCATGTGAGAGAGCATTGGAAGGCTTCAAATATAACCACAGGATGATTTTGATCAACTTTGATTACACTCATGGCTTGTCTGGCTTCAGCTTAGACAACACCCAAAAACCCCTGAGCTTCCACATAGGTCAGCTCCCTTTTTGGTGAAGAAAAATACAGGCTGCTGCTGGATAGTCTCAGTTACCAGGCTTCGTTGTTACAAGTGATAACTAGTGCCCTGTGTAGATGCATGTGGGACAGACTACAGAATTCACCTACGGTGCAGTTAACTGGGGTGAGAATAAACAGACATGAGCCATAAGACCCGCAATGATCAAGTACACAGGATTTAGGGCAAGTAAAAATGTTTTATATTTCACAGATTTGTGAATTGCTCTAGTTTAGAACATTCTGTTTAAGTCAGCTGTAGTCGACAAGTTAGTTATCTATATACAAAATAAATGCACAGTACGTGCGAAATTTAACATTTTCCTGCTCATTGCAGTCTTAAGTCAAATAGCTTATGAATAAATAAAATAAGATTAAATTCAAGAGCATTCCTTCACTTATTTGTATAGCCTGATGTAGCAGATAGGTAAGTAGCGTAACATCCATACTGCTACAGCGTTCGTGGTAAAACTGAAAAATCCCTTAATGTGCATCACTGCAGTACTGAAATACAATCAAGGTGAAATGCATCATGCATAGAAAATGAGCTCAGGTATTTGTCCTCCTTGTACTCCAGTTCCATTAGTGCTGTCCGAGGAGCACTGGAACTGGAAGGTCACTTTCCCACACTGCACTTCAGTCATTCCCTCTTGCCCAAAGTAACTGAGTTCATTTCCATCAAGGATAGCGCTCACGTTGTAAAACGTGTCTTGCTCAACCTGCACAGGGTGTTCAAACCACACAGAGAAAGTGTTACTGGAGCCATCGGAGGTAAACTTTGTCAGATTTTGAGCAAGGACAACTCCCAAGCGCTTCAGTTCGATTTTGACGCTGTATTCAGCTTTGCCGCAGCTTGACCCATACAATCCCAGTCCTGCTATAAATATCCGTTTGTCTACGGCAAACTGAATACTGTCACACCGCCCTCGGTACCTCCACTGATTGCTGCGATATGCAGATGACTGAAACCGATGGCATCGCTGAGGTACGAGTCCTTTTCTTTTTGTCAGCGGAAATTCTAGTTTGGGTTTATTTGCGGCCGTGTACCATAGGAATATGTTGTGAGTTTCCTCTAGGGTCAGGATGTCAGACTGGGCAGCTCCATTGGCAAACTCTTCCAGAGTCATGGTTGGAATCCGCACCAAGTACAAAGCTTTTCCTAACACGTTCCTCTTGTTGCGCGGCGTAATCGGCAGCCCTTGTCGTTTGCATTCAGCCTCTGCCCAGTTGAGAACAGCCTCGAAAACTACCACTTCCTTGGTGTTGAGTGCCTCCCGGGTTACAATGATCTCTAGTGTTTGTTGATCTATCTCACAGAAGCCCTCTGACTTCAGTGCCATTTCTGCTTGAGCATCAATCACTTCCCAGCAGCGCTGCGTCAGCTCTGGCTCCTCGAAGAGCCTGCTCTGAGACAGCAGGACACAAGCGTTCTTCGCTTCTAGACTGGTCTCCAGAAAATTGACGCAAGCCTTTGCTAGGGCTGGCACGATGTACTTCTTGGCAGCATACAGCGTAGCCAGAACCGTGTCAGCTTCCAGGTCTATTTCGTCACTGTACATATATCTAGATGGGAGGGGAAAAAGAGAGGTTTTCAGGGGAAAAAGAAATATATATAGGACACGAAAGATTGATCCATAGTCATCTTTGCTGGCAGCGAATCCAACATTCACTATTTGTCAGCACATTAAGGAAGCGGTAATAAGCGCATATTGCACAAGGCCAATTAAGAGATGTATATTTTTATAAGCTACTTTGATTCTGTCCACGTAATTAGTAGACTTGCAGTGGCCACTTACTTTAATAGGATTAGAAAGGCTGCAGGTTCCACATCTGGTATATGGATTTCGGATTTGACCTCTGCGAGATCTCCATAAAACATAGCGTAGAAGACAGAGCTACCAACTGCCAAAACATACTGGAAAATAAAAGAGAGAAGCCTCAGTAATACGTACTGGTAATATCAAAAGCCAGCATGCTCAGCTAAGAGCTACACTTAGGGAAAGTTGAAAGCTGCAGTGGAGGCAGGAGACTGCCTTAGACTGTTCCTTTTAATTGCAGCGTATGTGATTACTTCTGGGATTAGAAGAGAGCTGTAATTAGAAAAAAAAAAAAAGTGGAACCTAGTTGTAAGGCTGGGGGGAGGCGATATGCACAGCAGCACTAAAAAGCAAAAAAACTATCTGCACAAACCTTATGGGCAGGAACTTTCTTGGATGCTCCCGGCGGGCCCACGATGAAGTGAACGTCAGCCATGAGTTCGTTATTGAACATCAGCGCGTTCCTGCAAGCGAGGGGAGGGGGGAGAAGCCCCGTTAGCGGCGGGCAGCCCCTCACCCGGTGCCCCAGCTCCAGTGGCACGCCGCCGCCCGAGCCCCCGTGGGTCCATCCCGTCCCGGG